ATGAACTGCTAGGAGAACAAACACGTTCATCCTAGAGGGTGAAGCCAGGCTGCTCCTTAGAGGCAAAAATTCTGAAGCTTCATCTGACATACTTTGGAAGTGGTGCAAGGAGACCAGTTTTTGAAGAGAGACGTCATGCTTGGGAGGGTGGAGAGTGAAGGAGAGGAAGATCCTCGATGAGATGGATTTGCTCAGTGACGGGGGTAATGGGGGTAGGTGTGTTAGAGACAATGAGGTTGGCACAGGATAGGGCAGGGTTTAGGGCTGTTGTAGATAGGGTCACTATGAGTCACAAGCCAGTCGATGGCACATAACAACAACAAATATATCTGAAATCTGGACAGTGAATAACGATGGCAGAAGAATTGATGCCTTTGGATTACTAGAGGAGTACTGAATATTCCATGAACAATCAAATCTATCTTGAAGGAAGTCCAACCAGGTTGGTCCGTAGAGGCAAGGGTAGTGAGACTTCATCTCATGTACTTTGGGCACATTGTTAGGAGGCACCAAGACATTATGCTGGGAAAGGTGAAGGATCAGTGAAAGAGAAGACCTCAACAAGACGAGCTGACACAGTGATGATAACAATGAGCTGAAACCTATCGGGGATGGCTGAGAATGTACAGGTGAGGGCAAGGTTGAGATCTAGCATTCATAGGATCACTCTGAGTTGTGTGATACTCAATAAACCTTAATAACAGCAGAGTCATTATGTTGTTGTTGTTGTTGTTATGTGCCATCGAGTCACTTGCGACTCATAGCGACCCTATGTACAACAGCTCTAAATTCTACTCTGTCCTATGCCAATCTCACTGTCTAAGACACACCCATCCCGATTGCCCCAGTCACCAAATCAATCCATCTCCCAGAGTGCCTTCCCCTCCTGCGCCTACCCTCCACCCTCCCAAGCATGATGTCCCTCTCCAAAGACCAGTCTCTCCTTACAACATGACCAAAGTGTGTCAGGCGAAGCCTCAGAATCCTTGCCTCCAAGGAGCAGCCCAGTTTAACCCTCTCCAGGATGAATCTGTTTGTTCTCTTAGCAGTCCATGGCACCTTCAGCACTCTTCTCCAACACCAAAGCTCAAAAGCATCAATTCTCCTTCTATCCTCCTTGGTCATTGTCCAGCTCTCTGATGAATAACAAGTGATTGCAAAGACCATGGCCTGTACCAGACGCACCTTTGTCTTCAGAGACACACCACTGCTCTTGAGTACTTTAGAGAGGTCCCTAACAGTAGACTTTCCCATGGCAATAAGTCTTTTAATTTCCTGGCTGCTGGTGTCAAGAGTGTTGATTGTGGAGCCAAGCAGACTAAAGCTGTGTACAATCTCAGTCTCTTCACCACCCATCCTGATGCTGCCAATTGGTCCAGTGGTGAGAATCTTTGTCTTCTTGACACTGAGCCTCAATCCATATTGAAGGCTGCAGTCCCTGACCCTCAGCCGCAAGCGCTTCAGGTTCTCCTCAGTTTCAGCAAGCAGATTGTTTATGGATCTTCCACCAATCCTGATGCCACATCTCTCCTCATAGAGCACAGCCTCCTGGATGATCTGTTCTGCATACAGGTTGAAAAGGTATGGAGAGTCACTGTGAGTCGGAATCAATTGGATGGCAATGGGAGGTGTGGGTCTTTTTGGTAAAGATTTAACATAGTTCATGCATTAACTTTGACAATTCCTAAGTTATAAAAAGGGTTAAGTGCCAGACTACTAAGCAAAAGATAAGGGTTTCAAACTCACCCAGAGGTATAAAAAAATAAAAGGCATAGTGATTGAGTAATGATAATAATAATAGATAAAATGAATCAGCCATTCAAAACCCTGTGTGCCGAGTTCTACACTGACACGTATTAATTGGAGTCAGCTCAGTGGTATCTCAAAAACCTTATTGTTATTGAATTGGAACCACCTCATAGCTGACCCTCATAGCTGGATTTTCAAGGCTGTAAATTGCATGGGAAAAGACGGCTCATCCTGAGCCTCGGGGCTTGCTGAGGGATCCAGACCATGAGGGAGGCCTGTCTGTGGGATAGTAGTGCAACTCCCTACAGACCATGCCACCACTTTGTTGTTGTTGTGTACTGTCCACTCAGAACTGACCTATCTGATCCTTCAGTGGAGAAGATTGCCCATCATTCTGTCACAAAGCAGCTGGTAGATTAGAATTGCATGCCTTTGGGTTGGCAGTGCAATTCTTCACCACTAAGTTACTAGAGCTCCCTTTGCCACAATTAGTAGACTAAGCCTAGAGTGATGATGAGATGCCGAGATATTCACAGTCCGAGATACATCCAAGTTCTGGGGCAGTTGTCTTTTGACAGTTTGACACAAAACGTCAAAATGCAAACCATGCATAAGCAATATTAACTTTCTGTCCCTTTCTCTCATTGCCATCAAAACAGAACCAAGTCATAGCTGATCCTATACTGAGTTCCCCAAGAGTGTAAGTAACACAAGAAGAGATTACTCATCTTTCTCCCTCATAGCTGCTACAGATTCAAACTACCAGAGAGGGTCAGCCACTGGTGGACTCAAACCACCTTTGGGTTTAGCAGGACAACTCTCTTCAGACACCATCATCAGAGTTTATATTAACTGTCTTCTTCTTGGTATTGACTCATAGCAACCTTATGAACAACAGATGGAGACCTGACCCTATTCTATACCATTTTCACAATTTCTGCCATGCACTAACCCAAAAAGGACATGGGCAACACCTGGACTAGGACTTTTTGTTGTTGTTATCAGTTTACATACGGAAGTTTGCATACACGCTGTGCCTCATCCACATACACGGTGTTTCATGCATTCCTTCCCTCACATTGGGTTTCATATAATCATTCCATACACTGTGTTTTATAAAATCAATCTCAACTGACTCCACACTTTCAGATCCCCACTGGATCCTTCCAAGTTCCTCCACCTCTCATTCCACCCACCAAACTCAGGGACATTGAGACACATCCAGTGTCACACATCACTGTAAAATCTCTCTCTACATGATGAGGACAGTCACATAAAAAAAAAAAAACAAAACATACACTGGTAGCCAACTAGAGTAAACCATGGATTTAGCTCACGTCCGTATGCTTTTTCCCTTCTATTATTAAAGGAACTGTACTTATTTGGCCTGACTTTGTGTGGAAATAAGATTTTTGAAAATGCTACTGGTTAAGTTAGGGAGCTCTGGTGGTCTAATGGGCAGAGTTGAGCTGCTAACTCAAAGATAGGCTGTTTGACTCTATCAGCTGCTCTATGGGAGAAAGATGGGCGGTCTCTTCCCATGCGTTTTACAACTTCTGAAACCTGTTACTGGTTGATTCTAATTTGATAGCACATAATATCACAACAATTGGTTATATTAACTGGAGGTCCTACCTGAGTAGACTAATCCTATTCTAAGTGGTGTCCATAAAAGAGAAGAAATGGACACAGAGCGAAGATGGTTCTATGAAAAGAAGTTAAAGCCATATTTACTTTCAATGGATAAGTGGAGGCTACCAGAAGGCAGAAAAAGTTAGAAGAGTTCTTTCCTAGATCCTTCCGAGAATGTATGGACTTCTTGTCTCTAAAACTGAAGTGCATTTCTGTTCTTATAGTCATTCATTGTGTGGTGAAACTGTTACATGAGTGATACTCAGAATTCAATAGTTCTGCCTTGGCTTTTTTGCTCTCAGAAGTTTCCCACTTTGATAGGGTGCAGTCTTACCACTTCTGTATGACACATTTTAGTGGAAGACATCTGCATTTTCTTTCCATGACAAGTTTCTGCTTTACATAGGCTTTGGCATTGTTGTTGCTTTCTACCATTGAGTCCAATCTGACCCATAGCTGACCCTCCCACAATTAATCCCATGAGAGAAGAATGCTTATCCTTCTCCTGCTGAGCAGCTGGTAAACTTTGAATCTGTGTCTTCAGAATTGCCTCATAGTTTCTTGGCACTAGGCCACCAGAGCGTTTGCTAGCTATAGTGTTTATTATGGTTAAACTCATTGCTGTAGAATCAGGATAGATTCCTAGCTGATGCTCATGCAGGTTTTTTTGAGGCTATAAATTACATGAGAGGATACTGTAGGTCAATCTCCCTCAAAGCCATTGGTGGATTTGAATTGTCAGAGAGGTGAAGCCTTTTGGGGATAGCATTCAACCCCTTAAAGACTATGTCACCAGAGCTAAGAAGCAAATACACCTCTCAAAGCAATGGTTGTTCACCTTATTTTCCTGGGTTATAATTTATACCAAAACACAATGAAGTAGAAAGCACACTATTATAATTCACTCAGCACTACTTTATTTAAAAGGTCTGGAGAAATTCAGCACTAATTGGCATATTCCACTGAGGGCATGCATAGTCTATGCCTCTTATATAAGAAGAAACACATGCAAAACCAAAATATTTGAGCATAACTGAGGGGAAAATATTCTAAAAATTAATGAGTCCTATCAATGTAAGAGAAAAAAAAGGGTTTGTATTAAGCATGCACTTCAGTAAAGAATAATCCACCAGAACCTGCCAGAGTGTAGTGCATTTAACAGTCTCAGGGACAATGAATGACATAACACTCTTTAACGATTCAGTTCAATTTTGTGTTAGTATTTGAAAGTGAATTTTTTTAAACAAGAGTCATTATCTATATTATCTGTAAGAAAATTGTGTTGTTACTCTTTTTATATACTATCAAGTTATATACTATCAAGTCAGAATGATTCATAGCGGACCCTCCGGCAGGTTTTCAGAGGCTGTGAGTTGCACAGGAGGAGACTGCCCATCTTTGTCCTGTGGAGCAGCTGGTGGGTTCAAACTGCATGCCACAGAAAGTCCACTGGTCTCCACACCAGCTTGCTGCTCGGCCTGCTTAGCTCTAGTAACTTAGTAGAGTGATAAGTGATAAGACCGATCAGTGTTGCTGGTGCTTCCGTTTGAAGAAGGTGCAGCTGCTTGTCCTAAGGGTCTCTGTCCACTCCTTTCTCTTTGCTGCCAGGCATTTCCTCCTTAAACCCATTCAGACCGATTGGTCCTCAGGTGGCTTGCACTGCTGGAGTTTACCAGCCGCTCAGGGGCCTGCAGTTCAGTGGATAAATAATGTCCCCCAAGCCTGCTTCGGGGGGCTGCAGGGACCTCCCCCCAGGAAGTGTGGCCTTCACTCCTTGAGTCCTGCGCGGCTTCTCTGTGGAGCCTGCTCCGGGGCTCTTGATGGGCCCTGGTGAGCTTCTCACTGGCTGAGGAGGAGATCACCTCACTCTCCTCCTCATCTGTAAGCTCTCTCTTCCTGGACACGCCAGACTTCTCACTGGGGCTGCTAAAGTGGGTCCTGGAGCCCTCCCCTCGGGGCCACCCACCTGCGTGAGCAGGGATCTCCTCCCCCTCCCACCTGCCATCCTCGCTGAGGTGACTGGGCCTCCTCCCCAGGCTCTGAGAGGCCAGGTGGTCCTCAGAGGGTCCCCGGGTAGATTTCAACCCCTCACACTCTCTCCTGCTGGAGAAGCTCCGGGCCACTCGCCGAGGCACACGCCTCCGCCACATCCTCCTCTGCACGCTGCACATCAGGTCCACGAGGCTGAGGACGAAGGAGAGGGCGCTGACTCCCCACATGAAAAGCATCATGATGGATTTCTCCGTGGGTCGGGAGATGTAACAGTCCACCACACTGGTGCACGGAGGGTGGGAGCACGAGAACCTCTTGGGAACCATGAATCCAAAGAGCAGATAGTGCAAGGCCCCAAAAGCTGCCTCGACCAGGATGCGGAGAAAGAGGTGAGCGATGTAGCCAGAGGAGAAATCCGGGATGTCCAGGTTGGGCTCCTCCTTGGAGGGCTGTGGGCAGTGTCTTTCCATGGTGGTCAGCTCTGATGGACCACAGGCTAGGGGACCGCCATCTGACCCACGGCATCCTGCAGCCACGTGCATGGCTCCTTGGTGGAGCACATAGACACTGAAGACAGCGTAAGGGAGAAGGACAGACACACTCTGAATCAGCCAGAAGCGGAAGTGGGACACAGGGGAGAAGATGTCATAGCAAACGTTCGAACATCCCGGCTGCAGAGTATTGCACACAAACCTGTCCTGCTCGTCTTGGTAGATGGGGTACCCTGCCAAAACAATCACCATCATCCTCAGCAGTATCATGAAGATAAGCCAGATCTTTCCTAGAAAAGAAGAAACAGTGACGGCATCACAGCCCTGTGAACAGAATTCATCTCCTTCACAGTCTTAAAGTCTTTTCTGGTGCTGAGAATGGCCAACGATTAAGGAACAGGTTGAAGATTCTGCAAAATGTGTGAGACATCAGTAAGCACCAGTGAGCATGGATTTCATCACAGACCCAGCATAAGCTAGTCTTAGTCATGTGATAAGTATTTATGGAATGTTTATCATGTGTCAGTCATTGCATTGAATTTATGTGCTTGTGAAAATGGTTAGTAGATTAAAACAAGCGTTTATGTACTAAAACTGCTTTCATCTGGACTGGACTATCTAGAGAGAACATTTTGGTAAACAAATTAGTAAAGTAACTCAGGTCTCATGCCTCTTAGGAGAATAATACACTTTTTAAAGGATGTTAGAATTTAAGCTATTAAGACAAAAGTATGTTACAACATTCAGCAAGTCCTCATTTTTTAGAATAATGGCCCATAAAACCTCTGTTTAATTACAGAGCTAGCAGTTAATGTTGCTTTATCATTTTTGAAATTTAATTTCTTCAGAAGCACTCCATTTTCAGAGGTTTCAATAATATGAATATTTCCTCCAAAATTCAGTTAGTACAAACTACTGAGTTTTTGTCTCTTGTCAATTCATTGTGAATAATTATAAAACCATGCAAAAACCCAGAATAATTTCAAAGATCTGTTTTCATACCAAGGGACAGCTGCTATGGAACATATATTAAGGACAGGAAAAATGAAAGTATAAACTTTGTGTCAAAATAGGAAAAATATCAGTTGATATCAGAAATTACGATGCTATTACAAATGAAGTCAGTTAACCTCAAAGAAATAGGAATAGTATCACTGCCTGACAAACTCATTAACTCGAACTTTCAAGGAAGTGTGTTTGGAAATGTGTAAAGATATAAAAGAAATATATTTTGTTTAAGCTCTACAAATAATAAGAAAGTAAAGTATCTTCCATGGTATCTTAAGACTTTCCAATCCTTGTTTCTATGACATCCACATTTCTCTGCAATGTAACTTGTCTAGTATAAACTGAGATATCTTTAGTGGTTTTTTTAGTTTTAAAAAAAATCCAAACTTAAGGATAAATTTGGTTTCATGTGCATGAGAGAAAATAGCAATCTGCATAAATTAAATTTAAAAAATTAAATCTAAAATAATGAACAAGAAAAGAAAGCAGAGCCTACATACTCTTCTCATGCACTTCTGTGTTGTTCCTTTTCCTGGTATCGTGAAGCAGAGCATAGTTAACACAGAAATACATCCCTCCACAATCTGCTTTTGTCATCTGATTTGGCCTCTAGGCCTCAGCAAGAAGGGGCTGAGTGAGAGAAACAATACACAATCATCCTCTCCTGATTTCCTTAAATGATGAAGAATAAAGCTGGAGTCCACAGTTCCCCTTTCCCCAAAAGCTGGAACAGCCAAACTGAAATTGGGAAATAACTTGACCCTTTAAGAACTTGATTCTAAAATGGCAAAGAAAGCAAAAGAGATAGGAAAAGTTTAGAAGGGTTTTTCCCCATAATACTCACCCACAATTGTCACATTATAATTTAATGTGATGATTAGGAAACCCAGCAGGTCCAAATGGCCCATGCTTCAAGAAGGTCACAAAGTCCAGGCTGCTGGAGACGATGTGTTTCCCACAATGTTCAAGGATAAATCTATTTTAGCTAAAAAATGACTAAATTCTGAGGCTTGAAGATATGAAATGCAAGGGGCGAGCACGGCAGGAGGTGGCGGCCAGTTTGACTGCCTTTGAGTTCAGAAGGCCCTGAGCTGTTTGCCTCTGAGGCCAGGCATTCCTGACAACTGCATGGACCAGAAGACGACAGCAGGAGTCAGCTTGCATTGTGGGCTATTCTTACCCTCTTGGGGCATTCCAGGCCTGTGGCATTGCTCAGATGTCTCTACCAGGAGAATCAGACATTTCAAGATAGAACAGAAGCAACTACTTTTAACTCCGTGAAGAAAATTTCTCTTCACTGGCCTAGCAAACTGCTGAGAAAAGGTGTTTCCTTCTTGAAAATGTGCCGAGTGAAGTATTTGAATCACGAATGGACAGGTATTATATAAAATCCCTAGAATAATTTTTGTGAAGTACCTAGAATGACCAAATGTAGAAGAGATTAGAGTTTAAAGGTGATTATTGGGGGTTGAAGGGTGAGATAAAAGGGGAGTTTGTTCATGGTGAAGAACGTGCCAGTGAAGACTGCTAATGTGATTGTATGATTGTCACGGAATCGAGTTGTCGGGTGCCGTTGAGTCAAGTACAACTTGTAGCAAACCAGTGTACTTTGCCCTGCCCTCCTCACAATCTCTGTCATTGTCAAGCCCATCATGGTGGTCACTGTGTCAATCCAGATGCCTCAAGGGTCTTCTTCTCTTTTTCTGATGCTCTACCTTTCCACACTTCATGTTTCTCTCCAAGGATTGGTTCCTTGTGAGCATATGTTCAAAGTAAGCAAGACAAAGTTGGACCATAAATGGGAGCAATGTTGAACAGGCAAGTGTTTTGTTATGTGTACTTGTCATAGTTGTCCAGTGCTGCTACAACAGAGATATCATGAGGATGGCTTGAACAATAAGAAATTCATTCTTTTATAGGTGAGGAGGTTACAAGTCCAAATTGATGGTGCCGTGGCTAGGGGAAGGCCACTCTCTCTGTGTCAGCGGTAAAGGAAAACCCTTATTTCCCTTGGCATTTCAGACTGGACATCCCTTGGAGAACTCCATCTGTCCTGGCCTTTCCTATGTCAAGGAACTTCCTTGTTCAGAGGCCAGATCCAAAATAATGAGCTCTATTCCTGGCAATTCTTTCTTGATGGTAGCAAGGCTCACCCTTTCACCCAGAAAAATGTTCACTTTCCTCAACCTTTATCTCTAGTCAGATAAATGATATTACAGGTCACACTTAGGGAAACTTTCCACATACTAAATCAGGGTTGTGATGGGATTAAGGGATATTGCATTCCACCCTTCTAATACATTTTACAACTATTTAGTTTACCAGATGATGGGGGTTCATTCCATATTTTATCATAACATACATATTTGGGTGGATGCAATTTAATCTGAGATAATATGTTCAATAAGCATTTAATAAAGTGTTCTTAAAAATATTTCCACAATCACTTTCACTTGTCAAAAAAAAAAATCTTAACATGCCACACCATAACCTTAACCACATAGATCTTGCCTTTACCCTGAATTCCTGGCTTAATTTTGCATCCTGGGCTCTTGTTTCAGCTTGAGACTACAGCACTGCTACTTTCTAGCTGATTTCTATGGACATTAGTGAAAAATAGTTCTTCATTTAAAGACAGCAGGCTTGGGTTCAAGCCCTAGGTCAGCCATCAAGTGACCAAGTGACCGGTTCATTTCTCCAAATAGTCTCATTTTTTTAACAGGGGGAATCAGACCATTCCACTTAGGATCTGAATGAGGCATCAATGAAGTAAAGGTTGGCAGCAGCTGACACAGAATGGATCTGCAATAACTCTCATCAGTGGCTTCCCCGCCCCCCTCTCCCCCCGACTGGCCTGTAAAACGTTCATAGGTTCCATGTTCCTTTTGCATCTCTCAACCCCTTCTACACCAGGGCCGCCCCCATTGAATCTGCTTAACAAATGCCCTTTAAATTTGTAGTAAAATCTCCACACCATATGGACCTGCTGACATCAATCACAGTTGCATGAAAATCCTAGCGTGGCTGTCACCTTTGTATCTGGGAAGACACCGTCCTGCAAGGCTGGAGATCTGTCATCAGGATGAAAATTGTGAACTTGAAAAGGAATTATTTCAATTTTCCATTAAAGCTATTCTCTCTATGCCGATCTTTTCTTCATTTCTGACCTAGTCTTGACTTTAGTAATATCCCTAGAAAGATTCCCAGAAGAGGAGTACAACAAAGGCACTTTCATCCGCACTCGTTCGACACGGTCCCGTCCGCAGAAAACATTTTGACCCCCTTGAAAGGAACAGTAGTTTTGCTATATTTTAGTAAAATGCTTTGACATGAACAATGAGAATTGAACTTAAGTAAAAATATTGAAATCGTTACACAGTTCAAGTGCAAAAGAAAGGGGAATGTCCTTGTTTCCTAATAAACTGTTGATACTGGATTAAAAATGGAAATATTAGGAACACAAGGGCTGCATCTTGTTGTGTGATGTAAATGGCCTGTTACAAATGTGAAGTAAAGTAGGACCACATAACCTTGCTTAAAGGAGCCTTAGTGGTAATGGCTGATAGTTGGTGGTATTAAGCTGATAACCAAAAGGCCAATGGTTCAAACCCACCAACCACTCCATGGGAGAATGATGAGACAGCTGCTTCTATAAAGATTGCAGCCTTGGAAACCCAATGGGCAGCTCTACTCCATATTATAGTGTTATTATGAGTCAGAATGGACACAATGCATTAGTGAAGTAGGAGAATAAGGGATGTACTCAGCTCAGGATATGCCAAACTAGATCATTCAACAACAAGGAATGTTGCAACCTGGGTGAATATAAAAATCACTATGTTAGAGTGAATGAAGTTAACACATAAGACCATATATTGTATTATTATATTTATGTGAAATATCCAGAATATGTAATATATAATTAGTATATGTTGTTGTTGTTGTTATGTGCCGTCGAGTCGCTTGCGACTCATAGCGACCCTATGTACAACAACCCTAAACTCTGCTCTGTCCTGTGCCAATCGCACTATCTCTGACACTCCCATCCCAATTATCCCAGTCACTGAATCAATCCACCTCATAGAGGGCGCCTGCTGCAGAGTGTCAAGGACTGCAGCCTACAATATGGATTGAGGCTCAATGTCAAGAAGACAAAGATTCTCACCACTGGACCAATTGGCAGCATCAGGATGGATGGTGAAGAGATTGAGATTGTACACAGCTTTAGTTTGCTTGGCTCCACAGTCAACAGTCTTGGCACCAACAGCCAGGAAATTAAAAGGAGCATTGCCATGGGAAAGTCTGCTGTTAGGGACCTCTCCAAAGTACTGAAGAGCAATGGTGTCTCTCTGGAGACTAAGGTGCATGTGATACAGGCCATAGTCTTCGCAATCACTTGTTATGCATCAGAGAGCTGGACAATGACCAAGGAGGATAGAAGGAGAATTGATGCCTTTGAGCTGTGATGCTGGAGAAGAGTATTGAGAATACCATGGACTGCTAGGAAAACAAACAGATTTGTCCTGGAAAGGGTTAAACCGGGTGGCTCCTTGGAGGCAAGGATTCTGAGGCTCTGTCTAACATACTTTGGACATGTTGTGAGAAGAGACCGGTCCTTGGAGAAGGACATCATGCTTGGGAGGGTGGAGGGACAGCGCAGGAGAGGAAGGCCCTCTATGAGGTGGATTGAATAAGTATATAACTTATATAATAAATATATCATATATGCCTCCGGAAACCCTATGAACCTGGAGAAAGGATTAAAGTTATATAAGTGTTCAGGTCTTTCATTCATTGGGTTGCTATGAGTCGCCTACAACTCGGTGGCATCTAACAACATAAACATATAATATATAATAATTAATTAATAATTAATATGTACTATTTAATATATAATACACATATAATTTATAATAGAGAGAGAGAGAATGCAGATGGACAGTTACCAGACCCTGAAGGGAGAGGTTGGGCATGACTGCCTAGTGGCTAACTGGGTCTTGTTTTAGAGAGATAGAAATGTCTTGGAACTAAATAGGAATGATAGCTGCCTATTATGAATTATGAGATGCCACTGTTCATTTTAAAGTTGTTCATTTCATATTAATTTTATCACTTAAAAATATGGTAATTGACATGAAAATTACACAAAAAATATATAGGACCTACATAAACATCAGTGACTGGTGCAACTTTGGGTCTGATCCTCTGGGCTCCAATCCACTGTTTTTCCTTTAGCTCTTGACAGTGTCTTCTGAGCAGTCAGTGTTGACACCCTTGTCCTTTCCTCATTCATCACCTTTGCTTTTCCTCCTCCATGTATTCTCTTGTTCTCATTCTTTGTTCTTTTTTCTTCCCTCTTTCTCCTTTCTCCCTACTCCACCCCTCTCTCTATATTATTGAGTGATGTTTTTGCTTTAATGGGAACTCTTAATTCTAAAAGCTGGAGAAATAAGAGGAGTATGAGGATGGGAGTGGGACATTAAACATCTGGTCACATCTCCATAAAAGCATCCCAATTTTGCTGGAGAAGTTATCATTTGTTTTGGTAGGATTTTGTGTATAGGATGGAGAAAAGATTCTGGGGCGTACTATGGGCATGACAACCTAAAAGAACCCCTGACAAGACATCACCCCAAGACTCATTTGCAAAATAAAAGAAATTTTAAAACTACAGAAAAAAAAGTAGAGTCATATGTTTCTTAACTTTGATGTTTTTTACCTTTTTCTAGCTTAAGTGACACTGACAAATTATTAGTCTCAGCTTTATCACCTATAAATTGTGGACTGACTTACTTTACTTACTAGGTTATTTGAGAACTGGGATTTATTGAAATTAAATTACGAATAAGACACTACTTGGCTAATGCATGGTTCCTAAACACTGATAATTGTGATGACATGTATAATT